TGACCTTAGCGGGATCCGCTCCAAGGCCACGCTTCCCGATGGAGCACCCTAAAAAGGGAATTTCTTCGGCACCAAAGATGCTCTTGTCTGCATTATCATACAGCTTATTCGTGCGCATGCACTCGAGCACGGCTCTCAAATAGACGATGTTGCTCTGTTCATCCGTCCTCCCGTGCTCCGCACGACTGTGGACGAAAATGTTGTCGAAGTATGTCTGTGCACACGCCGGGTGGAGCCTGAACAACTGCGTCATAAGACGATGTAATGTTGCTGGTGCATTTGACAGTCCTTGAGGTATCACCAGTCACTCTCACAGCATGCCGGTCGGAGTACCCACCGCTGTAAGCGGAATACCACTTGCCCTCATGAGCAATTGGTAATACCCTCGACCATGTCGAGTGCACTTTACTTTGTATATCTAACCATGTTTTTTTGGAGAACATCCTTTCTAGGAATCGGTGTCTGTGCCGGAATGGTGGTGGCGTCGAGGTTATTGTAATCATGAATGATACGTCACTCGCCGTTTGGTTTCCGAGCACAAAGCGTGGGTGTCGAATATGGAGACTTGCTCTCATGCACCATTTCTGCATCATGTTTTGCACAGAAAAAGGCGTCAATGACGTCACTCTGCTGCTTCGGCAGGGGACATTGGCGTGTTACGCAGTATTTAGTTCCCGGAACCAGGTCAATCTCCTCGGTCTGGAGGGAGGACTGCCAGCAGGTCTTTGGAGACGATGTTTTAAAATTCCTTTACCAACGGATAGTACGGATCCGGGAGATTCTTCAGGATCGAAGATTCACTTCGCGTGCTCAGCATATTCTTGGTGTCCTCCAGGACGGCTTCATACAGAGGCGACGACGAGTTGATCTCCTCTTCCGGTCTTATAATGACCACTTCGGCTAAAGCTATCGCCTGCCTTCAAGGCACCGCCGAACTCTTCTAGGGACGTCGCGTCCAGCTAAAGAAGAGCATCTACCGCAGGAATCCCCTTGAAGGTGACATCGCCGTCTTCCTCTCCAGTCATACCGTCGACGAGGGTGTATGCCTGTGTGCTATCGTCTACAGTAGAGACATCCTAGTTCAGGGTCGACGCACGGCGTCTTGCAGCTAGCATACGGCGTCGCTGTCGCTTCTTCACAGAGGCTGTACGTCTCGGCAAGATCAGTGTAAACACGAACTTAGCGTCATACAGTGTCCACGCTTCCTGCTTCACCGAAGCCCTGATGTTATTAATAACATCCGACGAGAGCTGATAGCTCCGCAGTTTTCTCCAGTGGATAACTTGCCACTACACAGATGCCTCAGACCTCGTTCGACCGTGCCACACATGGCATACAGCGACTGCTCCGACACTTGAGTAGCGCTCATGCCACTCCACGTTTAGCCCGCGAGTCATGATCAGGACGCCTGTCCGATACCCCACTGGTGTTCGACAACTCGATTACTGCAATCTCCAGCAGTTGACCAGTGCCCGCGCTCATAGCGTTTCTGCCTCCTAGCAGAGGTGTTCTCATGACATACCTAATCTTCACCGGAAGACGTGCGCGTAGCGCCCAAGGTCTTCGACCTCTAATCGATCCATGGCTCATGGTCTTCTACCAGCCATACCAAGAATGATGTCATACCTTGAATTCAAGTTTGAAACTAAGCAGCGTTCCACGCTATCAAAGTAAAAAAACTTGACACTGAGGTCCACAGAGACCCTCGGCACCGTGACACATATCCCCGTCGCTACGCAAACAGTGACGATGTCACTCAATAGATTTTTAGTGCCTCTGCATACAGTGATATCCTTCAATCGTGGAGCACCGAGCATAATTGTTCGACGCTCCGGAGTTGATCAGGATCTTCAATGGCTTCTCAAAGCGCTTTCACGACTATATAGCCCGACTTGCATTCACTTTCCGTGCTTAAAAGCACGGAGCTCGTCGGGGCTGGGCTCTGCTGTCCTCTACCTCCTTGTGGCTCAATAGAACTCAGTTCCTCCCTTGTAGGCGCTGGGTGTGTTGTCGCCTCCCTGCGATAAAGTAGAAGGCTGGTGAGAAGCGGGACGTCGGTTCGATGAGCCTTGACGCGCCTTGCGCAGGAGACAATCAGAAAAACGTGACGGGTGTTTCAACAGACAAAACACTGTCGAGTGTTTGAACGCTGTCCTGCAGCTCGGAGCTCTGCCTCTATATCCTCAGCATAGATGATATTCAACGGCCCAGGCCCGCTGGACCAGCTTCTAGAGTGTGTATTCCAACCAAGTCGTGCCGACTTAAAGCTTCATGAGGCATTCAATGCCCATTCACTGCTTCTTCAGAAGAAGACGGATGCACACGAAAGACTATCATTCTGGCCACGCCAGTACGGAGGCCCTTCTTATAGTCTGTCACTGCGACCGCCTCGGGGAGAAGATCGGCTGCCATCTCTGCAAAGTGAGTACGCAACTCTTGGACAAAGTCCACCAATTGTTTCTTGCCTCGTCGGACGGTAAGAAAAACGATCGCAAGCGATATGCTTTTTTTGCGGTGACAACACTCGTAAAAGCTGCACTTTTAGATTCACTTAATAGGGAAATGCCGCTTCCACCGAAGTGCCGCACGTCAGTGCCCATCTCGCGCTCGACCACTAAGCTTGAAAATAACTAGCGTCACGCGCTGTTGCTCGCTCTGGAGAATGGCGGACGCCATGCCAATCGTGACCTCTCTTACCCAGAGCACGAAATCCTCTCAATCCTCTCAATCCTTGCCTTAAGAAATCTCATCACTCACCATGAGCGTTTAGATCCGGGGACATCGACGACGATATTGTCATAAACGCAGTCGACGCTTCACGAATCAGCAGCTGAGATGTCGATTGTGTTTTAGCGCTTCCAGACGTGCAACAGCAAATCTGATACAATCCGAGGAGTCAGATTGACGCAGCAGCAATGATTACGGCATCAAATCGCTCGTCACGTTATCAGCAGCAAACATATCTTGTTAAATACTTTATCCGCTTTCATGAGTACTACAGCAAATCTGAAAAAATCAGACTAATCGGATTGACACAGCAGCAATGATTACGGCATCAATACGCTCGTCACGTAACAAGCAGCTAAGATATCTTGTCAAATTTGTGTTTGCGCTTCCAGACGTGCTACAGCAAATCTGATTAAATCAGGCAAATCAGATTAACGCAGCAGCAATGATTACGGCATCAAAACGCTCGTCACGATATCAGCAGCATATATATATATATATATATATATATTGTTAAATGCTTTTAACCGCTTTCAGGAGTGCTATAGCAAATCTAAAAAAATCAGACGAATGAGATTGACGCAGCAGCATATTTACGGCATCAAAACGCTCTTCACATAATCAGCAGCTAAGATATCAAGTAAAATGCGTTTTAGCGCTTCCAGGCATGTTGCAGCAAATCTGATTAAATTAGACGAATCGGATTGACGCAGCAGCAATGATTATTGCATCAAAACGCTCTTCAGGTAATCAGCAGCTAAGAACTAAAGTCAAATGCTTTTTTAGCGCCTCCAGACGTGCTACATTGAATCTAATACAATCAGAAGGATCAGATTAAGGTTGCAGCAAACGCTCGTCACGTAATCAGCAGCTAAGATCTTAAGTCAAATGCAGGTTAGCACTTCCAGACGTGCTACAGCAAATCTGATAAAATCAGACGAATCATAATGACGCAGCAGCGATGATTACGGCGTATAAACGCTCATCCCGTGATTAGGAACTCAGATATCAAGTCAAATGCGTTTAACCGATTCCATACGTGCTACAGTAAATCTGATAAAATCAGAAGAAAAGATTGACGTAACAGCAATGTTAACGGCATCAAAACGCTCGTCACGTAACCAGCAGCTAAGATATCAAGTCAAATGCTTGTTAGCGCTTCCAGAAGTGCTGTAGTGAATCTGACACAATTAGACGAATCAAATTAACGCAGCAGCAATGATTATGGCATCAAAACGTTCGTCACGTGATCAGCAACTAAGATATCAAGTCAATTGTGTTTTAGCGCTTCCAGAGATGTTGCAGCAAATCTGATTAAATCAGACGAATCAGATTGACGCAGCAGCAATGATCACGGCATCAAAACGCTCGTCACGTAACAAGCAGCTAAGATATCTTGTCAAATTTGTGTTTACGCCTAGAGACGTGCTACAGCAAATCTGAAAAAATCAGACGAATCAGATTGACGCAGTAGCAATGATTACGGCATCAATACGCTCGTCACGTAACCAGCAGCTAAGATATCGAGTTAAATGCGTTTAACCGCGTCCAGACTTTCTACAGTGAATCAGATTAAATCAGACGAATCTAATTGACGTAGCAGCAATGATAACGGCATCAAAACGCTCGTCACATGATCAGCAACCAAGATATCAAGTCAAATGCATTTTAGCGCTTCCAGAGATGTTGCAGCGAATCTAATTAAATCAAACAAATCAGATTGACGCAGCAGCAATGATCACGGCATCAAAACGCTAGTCACGTAATCAGCAGCTAAGATATCGAGTTAAATGCGTTTATCCGCGTCCAGACTTTTTACAGTGAATCAGATTAAATCAGACGAATCTAATTGACGTAGCAGCAAAGATCACGGCATCAAAACGCTCGTAACGTAATCAGCAGCTAAGATATCGAGTCAAATGCTGGTTAGCGCTTCCAGAAGTGCTACAGCAAATCTGATAAAATCAGACGAATCAGATTGATGCAGCAGCAATGATTACGGCATCAAAACGCTTACCAAGTAATCAGCAGCTAAGATATCAAGTCAAATGCGTTGTAGCACTTCCAAGACTTTACAGAAAACAGACTAAGTCAGACGAATTAGATTGACGCAGCAGCAATGATTACAGCATCAATACGACGAGCGTTTTGATGACATTT